AAGGGAAGGGAGGGAAAAATGAAACAAGACAAAACCAGAGAGGGAGACAAACCATAAGAGACTCTTAATCTCAGGAAACAAACTGAGGGTTGCTGGAGTGTTGGGGGGTGGGAGGGATGGGGTGGCTGGGTGATGGACATTGGGGAGGGTATGTGCTATGGTGAGTGCTGTGAATTATGTAAGACTGAGGAATCACAGACCTGTACCCCTGAAAAATACAGACCTGTGCCCCTGAAAAGTAATACATCATATGTTAATAAAAAAAAATTTTTTTTAATAAAAATACAATAATGGGGGGGAGGGGAAGAGTTCCCTCACCATAGATAGGTGGAGCCAACCACATGTAATGGTCTTTTTCCACTTCTCAACACAAGACTTTCTGTCATCTCCTTACACCCAGACACTCCTGAAATTTCCCTAATAAGATGCCGAAAACATAGTTGTAAGACAAGCAGCTGCTGGATACGTGGGAGGGCTCTCTGACACATCCTCAGAAGGAATTCTGAATAATTTTCAAACATGATGATCTTGACATTGCTTGGGAGAGTGTAACTTACTGTTAATGAGACCTATATTTAATTTACCCATCATCGGTATCACTTAAATACAGACATAATATTCATTGTCAAAAATATTTTATATATATATTTACATTATGTATATATAATACTATATTCATTATCAACTTTTCTAACATGGTCTGGGTAAACTATGCTTCTAACTGTGTGCACAATATTGAGTGTTATTTGGAAATAATTCAGAAATTATTCAGAAATTTCAGAAATTCTGAAAAGCTCATGATTAAGCAACACATATAGATACACGTATCTTAAAGTCTCTGGTTTTATCTACTTTTTCGCATTTCACTGCATCTGCCTACTCCATGAAATAGAGCAGAATTTCAAAGATAAGAAAATCAAAACAATTTATTTAAGTGATTGCTTAAGGCCCAAACATTGTCAAGTGACTGGGTGGAAACAGGAATCCAATTTTCATTTCTGTTCCATTATTCTTTCCACTAAACCTTGCTTTCTGAAATGCCATTTTCCTTAAGGAAATTTCCGTTCACCTTGATCCATATGTTTCTTTGCTTTGCAGTGCCTAAGATGCAATTCAAAGAACGAGTATATACTGGCAATGAAAATGACGGGCAGATAGTTGCAATGATCCACAGGAGCGGAGACGTTCACTACAGGTCTTCAGTGAGATGTTACACCCGGCAGGGGTCTGCGCAGGTGATGACGGACTTTGAGGAACGTCCAAACACTGGTAGCTCCATCATCACATTTCTCCCTGGTAAGGTGGAGCTTGAAATTTTTATTTGGCATTTGAGGAAGCCAAGTTGTTGATGAGAAATATCAGGAAAAGACACCTTCTTGACCTCAACAAGCTTATGATGTGGTTTTGTGTACACTATGTGATAATAAGGTGAAGTCGATTGTAACAGATTGAATCAGTGTCTTTTTGGTGTCTGTACCAATTTATGAATTAATTTCCAGTGATGTGCTGTATTGTTCATTCAAAACAAATTTGGTGGTATAACAAATATGTAGATTTTGCAATGCTGGGAGATAGTGTTCAAATGAGAGAAATGAAAGGAAATAGAGATCACACTTTTAATATGAATTCAGAGCCTTAAAATGTTCGATCACTGTGATCCTGTAATTGTACTAGAAACTAATCCTGTAGTCAGACTAACTCTGATTGTCCCGTACAAGGTGGATAAATTTGCTTCTTAATCATAATGCTAGAAATTCATACATAAAATTGGTATTTGCTCTTTATCTCTTGTTTTCTAAGATGACTTACAGAACTTAAAAACAGACACTGGAGAAATTTCCCACACAGATAGAGGCTCTCATTGCGTATGTTCAAACATTTAGTCATTCATTCAGCAAATATTTATTGGAGGCTTATTACACACCAGATACTCTTCTTTGCACTCTCAGTACAGCAGGGAAAAAGACAACATCCATGCCCTGTGGTGCTTATATTCTAGTAGCCCAGGTATGCTTTGGGGCCTGAGATGTGATTGGGATGTCATGATGGGATGGAACTGACGTGCTGTCATTATCACTGCTCCAGGTGAGACCGAAAAGCCTTGTGTCCTTGAGCTGATGGACGACACACTCTATGAGGAGGTAGAGGAGCTCCGCCTGGTTCTTGGCACCCCACAAAGCGACTCCCCCTTTGGGGCTGCAGTTGGGGAACAGAATGAAACTCTGATAAGGATCCGAGATGATGCCGATAGTAAGAAGTTATTTCTTGTCCTCGCCTGTAAATTAGGAATTGAAACCCATCTATGTTAACGTTTTAGGAGGCTCAGAAAATAACCCCCTCTTTCTGACAAGGGTTTTAAAGCAATTGAGAAATAGGAAAAAAGACTAAGATAAATGGGGAACCAAATAAAACATGAAAATCGGAAGTCAATGCTGGAGAATGTGCTTTATGTCTAATGTTAAATCCCACATGTTCATACCTCCGGTAGGGTAGACATACCCCCGGGCCAGCAGTTTCTCTCTCCCCTCCCGCTCTCAGGGACCCACTTCTATAAGACCTATGGCACATAGAGGCTGCCCGGGGTACATGCTTCCTTGATTGCCAAGGAAGGAACTGGATGAAACACACTCAGTTTCTCCTAACCCACTCACCAATAATGATGGGTGAGGGGACAGAGAGAAGCCATGAGTGTAATACTAATTCAGTTCCCCTCATGTGGAAAGAAACATTAGAAATGAAGAAAAAGCATTTCCTTTACATTTTAATTTGTCCACGTTTCCCACAATTTTAGAGACTGTTATTAAATTTGGAGAAACCAAATTTAGCATCAGTGAACCCAAAGAACCGGGACAGTCGGTGGTTGTAAAAATTCCAGTGATTCGCCAAGGAGATACTTCAAAGGTTTCCATCGTGAGAGTCCACACCAAGGATGGCTCCGCCACCTCTGGAAAAGACTATCACCCTGTGTCAGAAGGTAGGGGAGTTCCCGGGGCCTTCCCCCAGGGGGGTGGCGCTCACACTCTGCACTGACACTGGTGCCCTTGAGAAAAAGAAGAGAAATATCCAACTGAAATAAAAATAGGCATACTCCTTTACGTTAATCTCTATCAGAAAAATAATGGCAGTAGAATTTAGTTCCAGAATTTTCCTTTTTGACTTATGGGGTTTATGCATGAGCACTTAGGGAAATTTTGAGTAGACTAGATGACCTTCTGTTCTGAGTCTGCTTTTACTTTTAATAGGTTTTACCTTCATTATGGTAATCAGATACTAAATAATATCTATTCTAGAATATTCTAGTACACTGAAAATATGCATGGTAGCTGAGATAGCGTTTCAGTCTATGGAACACCAATGATCTAAAACTTCAAGGTAGAAAATTTTGTTAATGGAGGGCAGGAAAAGGCTGGTGGAATGCCACCCAAAAAGACTATGAATTTTCTGGGCCTTAGGATTTCATTATAGGTGCTTTTCATCCATCCCCCTCCTCCTTTAAATTTTTGGACCATTTCACCATTTATTTTTATGAGGAATTAATACAAGTCAGTTCTTCTCTCTCTCTCTCTGAATTATCTGCTGACAGAATAGATGTAAATTGATGTGCAAAGTTAAGTTTATAAATTATGTAGAGTTCTACTTATCCACTTTGTGTCTAGTTTCCTACTTCTTACTACCAACAATCTTTAGTTCTTGATCGTAGAGCTTCAGGCATTCATCTTGATCTCGAAACTTGTGAAAGACAAAGTTTAGAAGGTGATGGATAGGTTTTACTAAGTCCGTAATAAAGTTGATGAGACAAGAGAAGAAAAAAAAACATCTTCTGCAAAGGAGCTTGTTTCCTTTGCATCTATGGTAAAAAGTTTGACTACTGTAGAGCTTCAGAGTTATCCTCAGATTATTCTCTCTGCAGATAATGATAATATATTTGAAATAAATCACATATAATCCAAAAGGAGAGGAAAAAACACTGATTAGCTACTAAATTAGAAAAATCTAAAATAAGTCTTTCTCTAATGAGCAAGAGCAGGTTTTACATGAAGGAAACATCTTCTAAAGATGGGCAATATGACCTTTAAGAGAAAATGTTTTTCTTAGAAACAAAATAATTCTTTTTGTTGAAGCACAAATAAAAATTATACCTCTGTGGTAAACTGACCAATGAAGTCAGGGAAAGGTTAAATGACAGTAAATCAGCCCGTGTCTCTTTTATCCCATAAATGTAAACATGCTGTTGATAACGCTCATGATAAAAATGTAATCTCTTCTGACCCATATTCCAATTTCTCCCTTATGGTCAAAATTGAGGTCAGTCCCTTACAAATAAACAGAAATAATAAAGATAGAAGAAAACTTAATATATTTTTTGTGCTAAGAATATCTAAAATGACAGATAAAGACTAAAGTAATTGAGGAAGCTTAACTATATATCATCTAGCATGTATACTGTAAGAAAACAACAATTTAAATATTTAAGGGGCGCCTGGGTGGCTCAGTCCATTGAGCATTGAGCGTCTGACTCTTGGTTTTGGCTCAGGTCACGATCTCAGGGTCCTGGGATCAAGCCAGGAGTTGGGCTCCTCGCCCAGTGGGGTGACAAGGAGACACCCACCGCCCTCATGCTCTAGCTCTCTCTCTCACATAAATAAAGAAATTAAGTCTTTAGTAAATAAATAGATATTTAAAATCAATACTTAAGCTCTTAACTTCTTAGAAATTGGGTTTCTGGGCGCCTGGGTGGCTCAGTCGGTTAAGCGACTGCCTTCGGCTCAGGTCATGATCCTGGAGTTCTGGGATCGAGTCCCACATCGGGCTTCCTGCTCGGCAGGGAGTCTGCTTCTCCCTCTGACCCTCCCCCCTCTCATGCTCTCTCTATCTCATTCTCTCTCTCAAATAAATAAATAAAATCTTTAAAAAAAAAAAGAAATTGGGTTTCTATCATTCTGGGGATTACAACACTTGAACTCACAGGGCTAAAACAAGCAATGAATGAGGGAAATAGGAGCGGAAGGTGACGAGATGGGAACGTTACTGAACCAGAAAGTCCATTCCCTGCTGAGAAAAGCCTGTGCTGCCGTAGTCAGCTGCTTGTGGCCAGGCAGGAAAGGACAAGAGAACTTTAAGAAAACCTGCGCTTTCCTATGAAGCCCCCAGATATTCTTGGTTTTAGCGACTAATATTCTTCGGGTTTCATTTTTATTTTTTTTAAGAGGGAGAGAGTGCACGAATGGGGAGGAGAGGCAGAGGAGAGAGCGAATCTTAAGCAGACTTCATGCCTAGCGCAGAGCCCAGCACTGGGCTCAGTCTCACGACCCCAAGATCATGACCTGAGCCGAAATCAAGAGTCAGACGCTTAACCGACTGAGCCACCCAGGTAGCCCTAGGAACTAATTTTTTTTTTTTT